AGAGAGAGAGAGAGAGAGAGAGAGAGAGAGAGAGAGAGAGAGAGGGAAAAGTAAAGATCTATTTGAATCCACAGCTAATGCTAGATTCAGCTGGTTTAAAAATGACCAAAGTCTTGTTTTTATAATTTTCCCAAACTTTAGAGACCTTTAAAAACTTTTTTTCTTAGGCTTAGCATCACACACACACACACACACACACACACACACACACGCACGCACGCGCACGCGCTCCACTGGACCTCAGCGGACCCCTCCTCTGGCACAGCACTTCTATTTGTTGTTACTTCAGAAGGGGCTCCTCAGCTTTAGTTCGAACAAACAAACAAACAAACAAACAAAAGAACGAACAACAAACAAAACAACTTTCTTTTACAATTTTCAGATGTTAGCAGGGTTCAGGTTAGCATCAGGGTCCCTTACAATAAAAAGATTTCTGAGAAATTTCATGGAACTTGAAATCAAAACAAAAGGGATCTTGGGATTGTCTGAGAACATTTCACCGAGACTGAGATTGAATTCTGTGCCTGCCAGGATGACACGCTACGGTAGTCCCCAGGGTGTGTGAGGAAGGTGCAGCTGATGAGCCTGCATCAATTCTAGATTTTCCTGTCAGATTCCCTCCCGGTGAATGAAGATAGGACAAGACCTTAAAAATACAGTTGCAGATTACTTCTGGTGATTGAGAAGGGTAGCTTTCCAGGCCTGGCTTCTGAGAGAGGATGGATTTATTATTTACATTTGAGACAGGGTCTCACCATGTAACCCAGGGGAACCTTGAACTCAAAGTGATTCTGCTGTCTCAGGCTACAGTACTGAAACTGCAGATGTGAGCTGCCACTCATCACCTCTCTTTAGGAACAAGAACTCCCGTCTCACCTCCCTGCTGGGGTTTAAACTGTAGCTTCCCCCAAAGTGCTTCCTTAATCCAGAGAAAGAACAACTCAAGCCTGGGGTAAATTGTTACCACAAGAGTCAGGGCTCAGCTGTGAACATAGCTGTGGGGGAAGCCAGGAGGAGCAAACACTGCTCTCCCACCAGCTATTTCCTGTCCAGGCCACTTGTCACCTGAGTTTCAATCTCTTGTAAATAATATCTGCTAGTAGGTAACTAAGTATTTTCTCTGTTCCCGGAACTATTTGAAGCACCATGTGTCTGTCTGGTCTTTCTTAGTTCTCAGATTTTTCACTGTGAAATATGGTATGATTTTTGCAAGTGGGGAAACTGAGGCGCATAGAAATTAAGTCATTTGTCTAAGTTCACTGGCAGGAATGACAGCTCAGATTCTAACTCTGGTGGACAGCCAGCCAGTGGGTTCTCTTTATCCACAACACCATCCTATCTTCTGAAACAAAGGGCAAAGGAGGCTCCTCAGTCCTACCAATATTACCTGGGTGGTTGAGGAGGGGGTCTATGTCTGGGCTGGGAATCCGGGCCATTCAGACACACACACCCTTGCCCCCACTCCCTTCATTCACACTCTTCTCAGACCGTTCCCACTGCTAGGACTATCTTGGCATTGCAGGACATGGCTTAGCTCCCACATCCCAGAAGTCCTGTGGGACCATTATTTTCTAAGCGTATGGGTTAAATAAAATCTCAGTGGTAGGGAGACCGTGGGGAAATGAAGCTCCGGGAAGGTTGGTCACAAAGGAAAAACTCGGCAGCAAGAAGCTGCAAACTGCCTGGGAATGCAGATAGGCCATAAATCAGAAGGAGCTGCTGGCTGGCCTGGAATCTCAGGACCAGAGCCTACCGCCGGCCCAATAAAAACCAGTAGCTTCAGTTCAGAATGAGAAAGCAGTTTAGGTGTGAGGAGACCCACTGAGGCATTGTGTGGACACTGTTGGGAGATGAGATAGGGACGGAGAAGACAGTGCAGTAGGGAGGTGGGGATGGAGAGGCGCTGGAACAAAGGGGTCCAGGGGATTAGAGCCAAATTACCATCAGCAGCAGACAAAGCCACGTAAGAGGAAGCCTGAAGTTGAGGGAGAAGCAAACAAGAAAGCTGGCTTGCTACCCGATACTTAAGAGAGGAGGAAGTGGGAGATGCGCTGCTTCCTGTAGAAATGATGATTGAAGACAAAGCTGGGTGGGGACTCAGGCTTGGGCTTCAGCGGCTGCTGTACAGACAGACACTCGACGCCTCTCGGTGGGCAACTCCTACAGGGCTGAGCTGAGCTGGGCTGGGCAGGGCTGGGCTGGGCTGGGCTGGGCTGGGCAGGGCTGGGCTGGGCTGGGCTGGGCTGGGCTGGGCTGGGCTGGGTTGGGCTGGGCTAAGCTGGGCGGGCCGAGCTCACCACCCATCTGCTCCGCCAGGGGAAGCTGCTCTCTAACCAAGCCTCCGGAGCCAAGCAAGGTAAAGGACACGTTTTCCGTGTAGCTCCTTTTGAATTGAGACGAGAAAACCGTGCCTGTGGGTTTTAGGGTGGATTTCTTAGGGAAGCGAGGGACATTGTTTCGGACTTGGGGGAAAATGATTAAGATGAGATTTTAGTTTTTTTTTTCGAGAATGATGGTCAGATTTGTGACACATTTTGTTCGGGGTGTGGGGAGCCACCCTCAGTGTTTAGGAAAACAAGCGGAATGTAAGAAGTGGTTTGCTTAGCTGGCTCTGCAGTCCGGCAGCGCTGAGTTGCAGTCAGCTGGGCTGCGAAGCTGCAGTCTGGGCACCAGAGCGTGGCAGACCCTTGTTTTGGGGTGTAAGTCCTGAAAGATGTTAAGCACATTCATCTACGTATATATTTTCGTGGGCCGACTCTTTGCAACATTATGTCTGTGGTTTGGCTGTGAGGATGTTGGTTTCTTTTGTACATAGATTTTTACCAACAAAGGCTCGCATTTCGCGAGCGAGGGGCTAGTATTTACCTCTAAGGAACTAGTGTCTTCCTCTCTTTGCTGCTACCATTTGTTAGTAGGTCTTACCCTAAAGTTTCATCCTTATTTAAAGGACCATGGCTCGCCTGTAACTTGCTGAAAATCGGATACCGGTGTGTAAATGGATTTTATGCCTGTATGGATTTTATCCATCTCTAGAGCAAAGCGATTGTTAATTCCAGACAGAGATAATATCAAAGTGAGCTAGTTTGTTTCCTTGTCTGTGTATGCTGTACACTGAAGTAATGCAATCAGAACACAGTTTTTATTCTGTACATTTTCTTAAGCTTTGGATACTGATAATGAATCTGAAACTCGTTCGCGTTTATGAATGCTATATGTAAAAGTGCAATAAAGAGGTCTAATGGGCTTGAACTGAGATTATGGGCTTTCTTTGGCAGAACATGTAGGATAAACAGTTTAATAAACGGTGGCATAATTTTTAAAAAAATCTTCAACAGAAGTGTGGTTAAGCATAAGAAAGCATTGATTAAATGATTTTTACTGTTTATATATAATAAAAGGAGATAATTTTTCAAAGCAAAGAAAGAGCCTCGTGTGGCAGAATGAAAACAATAAAATGACATGTTAGAATACTCATGAATTATTAAAATACAAGTTTTTTTTTAACAACCCAATATACCAATTGAGAAAGCATGTACTTTTGTGATAAAAATCATTGTCAGTTGAAGAAGCCACACAATTGAGATTCTGTTTTGTTTTGTCACCTTTATAAAATTAATTTAGCTTCTCAGAATTTGTGGAGTAGAATTGCATTTTCTGAGACAGGAAGCATTCACAGACACTGAAGAAATAAATTTCTATTTTCCTGAGTGCATGTAGGAGTTGCTGTAACCATGGGGCTCTTGGGAAGGATTTCTTGAATTTAATCAAAGCAAGTCGTTTCAGGATTCCAAAGTCCCATTGCATCCTAAAGTGAAATATGTAGCACCATTCTTCTGGATGGAGACCTAGGCTTGATCTAGACTCTGGTGATCGAGCTGTGTGTCCCTAAATAAAATAGGAAGCTGGGCCTCTGGGCTGTATGGATGGCAGGACTTTCTTTTCTGTGTTCTGCAGATGATACTGACACCCTGCTTTGTTTGGGGATGTCTAGAAAATGTGCGTTACCCCTCCCATGTGTCTCACGGGAGAGTGAGGTGATGAAACCTTGGCCAGTAGGCATAGTAAAGTCAAGGGGGCCCCTGCTATCAGTCTGAAAACAATGAAGAGGTGCCTGTTTTGAGCACAGCAGAAAACACCTCCTTAATTGTTGAATTTCAGCTCAAGGCGGAATGTGAGTGAGCAACCGCAGATCTGTGAGGATGAGGGCAGGATTCTTTCTTAAGCAAGAAACAGAGGGGTGGGTGTGCTTCTACAACGGAGAAGGAGACTATTCCCACTGCTCTGGCCACACAGAGCACTAACAGGCATTCTTTTGCTCAGGGTATTTGGTGGCTGGAGAGGACATCAACAAATACTGAAATTTTAATGGTGTGTGTGTGTTTTCCTGACATATGGTCAATGACTGAATGGAAACATGACTCTTATTATTTTATGCCCAGCCCTGGGCCTCATGTGATGGGTATGTAGTAATGCCTTTAGCTGAATAACTTTTTGAGTCTGATTCTACAACTTTTAAGTCCAAAAGTAGAAAAACTATTCACAAAAGATCAGTGTGAGGAAAAGAAAGGAACGCAGAAGAGTGCCGAGAGCACACTCTGGAAACCAAATGCTGTCCCTTTGAATCCTTCCGCTGCTTCTTACTCTGTGACTCAGTACATGAATTTGTGAACCTTAGTTTCTTCCTTGTGAAGGAAGCACAACAGCACATAGTCAGGGTTTTATGTGACGTGGCCTTTGCTTATGTGTGTGGATAAGCAAGTGCTGGGTACAGAAAGATGCTGAAGCATCACTTTGTCCCTCTGTAGTGGCATCTGGAGAAGTTAGCTTAATCTTAGTCTCTGCCACTGCCTCTGAGCATGGAGATTTCTTTATTGTAAAAGAATATTCATATCACAAGATGTCCTACTTGAGTAACTGTTAAGCATGCAGTTTCATAGGATAAGTATAGTCACATTAACATGCTGTGTTGCCACTGTTCACCCCCTGAATTCTTTTTAATCTTATAAAACAGAAAGTTGGCAAATATTAAACAATAACTCTCCTTTTCTCTGTAGCTCAGGCCCTATTAAGAACCGTCGTGATGGAGATGGAATCACACAATGTTTCACGATGAACTTAATTCATCTTCTATGTTGTCTCCATGTTGTAGCACACGTGAGAATCTCCACCTTTTTAAGTTGAGAAACATATATCCATCCCCATGTTGTTTGTCCATTCATCCTTTGATGAATACTTGGACCAGTTTTTGGCTATTACAAACAATGCTGCTATGAATATAGCTGTGTAGAGTCCCTGGATTCTGTGTTCAGTTTTTGAGGAGCCACCATATTGTTTCCTCTAGCAGCTACATAACTTGGCACTCCGCCAGTAGGGCGCAGAGGTTCTAGTTCACCTTCATCTTCCTCAGGGCCTGTGGTTGATTCTTTTTGTTTATTTGTTTTGGTAATTGCCACCCTAAGGTGAGGTGGAATTGCTTTGTGATTAGATTTGCATTTTCCTGGCTATGGTCACAGAGTCTGGAATACTCCCTAGCCCATCTTGCGAGAGCAGATCTCATGTGATTCACATTTCCCCAGTGATTTTCATTTTTCATTTGCTTTTGACCACTAGTGTATCTTCTTTGAAGAAGTGCCCATTCAAATACTTTCCAATTTTGAATTTGATTCTTCTTCTTAAAAAAAAAATTTGTTTTTTTTTTCCAAAATTTGTGTGTGTGTGTGTGTGTGTGTGTGTGTGTGTGTGTGTGAATGTGAGTACAGGTGAACCCAGAGGCCACAAGGTATCAGATCTTCTGGAACTGGAGTTACTGGAAATTGTGAGATGCCTGTCATGGGTGTGAAAGACTATCTCGAAAGCCAAGGTGATAGTTTCTGAGGAACAAACCTGGGGCTGCCTTTTGGCAAACACATACACACACACTCACACACACACACCTCTTCCTATATGAACATGGACACACTTGTGCACAAACAACACAATCAACAGCAGAGGATGCTCAGTTATCTTTGAGTGATTGCCTGTTTCTATAAAGTAGCTTTACTGCAGAGGCTTGAATAAGGGAGATGGAGCCTTTTAGCTCTAGGCAAGGCAAGTATGTGCAATAGGACTTCTGCTTAGTGGGAAGACAGAAGGACCAGTCAGTGTCTTAACTGCATCATTGGCCTAGTTCAAATCATGCGTGCGTTCTCCTAATCATCTCTCCTGTGCCAAGTCTCTGAGACAGGCAGAGAACCTGGAAACTAGGTTGCTGGCTTCTCCTTGAAATTTACCACCCTGTCAGCAGGTGGTTGTTTCTTGAAAGCTTCCTCCACTCATTCCCTTCTCTCTTTTCTTCTTTTCCTCCTCCCCTTCCTCCTCTTCCTCCCCCTCTTCTTCCTCATTCACTTTCACTCTCTCATGCATTCACAGGGAAGTCTGCACAGCCCCAACCCCTACTCAGTTCGTTCCTTCTAGTTGGGCCAACCCTCTCTTTTTCTAACATGCGTTATAGGACTCCTCAATTCTTACCACTTCAAATTTTCTGTTCGTCTTCATTTGTCTTAGGTCATTCAGACCACAATAACAAATGGCCATAGATGAGGCCATTTATAAACAACAGCAATTAATTTCTCCCAGTTTCTGAGCCTGGAGATGGGAGATCATGGTGCCAGCAGATTATAGGTGTTTGGTGCTGACCTCTTGTGGCCTTACATTCCTGAAGGCCCTCTTCTATAAGGGTATCAGTCCTATGCAGGACCTGAGGACAGGCTGCAAAGACCCCTCCTCCTCTAACCCACTGCAATTATTCGAAGGGTTAGGCTCCAACATACGAGTGAGGGTAAGGGCACAAGCACTCCGCCAGAGCTACATTCATTCTGAGTCCTTTCTTTGCCTTTCCTTCAAAGCGAGGGTATATCCTCTACCTCAACTCTATTCTGTCTCCTCTTATTTAAGCGATGACAATAATTTTCCTTCCTACATAATGGGTTTCTTCACTTTTAATGATTGTTTTTTACTATATTTACTTATGTGTGTGCACAAATGCCACCGTGTACACGCGGAGGACTGAGGGCAATTTCCAGGGGTCAGTTCTCTTCCTGTCTTCTGTATTCTAAGGACCGAATTCAAGTTGCCAGGTTTGGTGGCAAACACTTCTACCTGCTGAGTCACCTCATCAGCCCAGCATTTCATTCCTTAATTACTGTATTTTACCTTACCTATTACCTTATTTTAGTTTTTCTTTATACGATTCACTTAATAAACAAAATCTACTCCCAACAAAGCCCGACCTTGACTTTGTTTCTTTCTTTGTTTGAAATAGGTTCTCACAGTATAGCCCAGGCTAGCCTTGAGCTCAGGCTTCTTCTCCCTCAGTGT